TGAAGACTGCGTTCAGCAGTATGATCAAGGCAAAATGGGAAATAATAAAAATTAGCGGTCGGCGGCCATTCCATGTATGGACTGCGATGGCTCATGCGGTAGCAATGTTGAAAGAAACCACTGTGATTGAAAATTGGCTGGTAATCAAATCGCCGCGAGAATCCAAACAAAGTGTTCGTAGTCACGTCTGTCAAGCAGTTGGTAACGTGTTTGATTAATACCATCCTTGCGCCAGCGAGGGATCACACTTTCGGGCCTCGATAATTGCACTCTCTGAGGATTCTTATCTCGAGGATGATTTGGATTGAATTCTGTGAAAACTCCCATAGTACCCGTGGGTCGATCTACCTTAATATTGTTCAGCTGCAATCTAAGCGAAAGCTCATCGTCTTCACCACCCCAGCCGTAGAAGAGGTTTGAAGCGCCGTTAATTGTTGCAATATGCCTCCAACTGAAGGCCGTAACTGCTCCGAGGAATGAATTGTACCACCTAAAAGTAAAGCATAACTTCTTGACGTTTTGTCAGTAATCTCTCAGCTACAATAATATATAATTTTTACAAAGCTTTTAACTGACCGAGTTCACCTGTATCTATGCATAAACAGTCAACGTTACTGGCCTTCATAATTTATGTAGCATTGCAATTAACTGTTGTTAGTGAGATCCTGTTTCATGCACTGCATTCAGGTAGATGCTTGAAAACGTCATTTAACTTTACTTATCCCTCTCATAGTGTTTTCCTATTTTGATGATAATGGATGCTTCCGATTTAATTTATATAGCATTGCAGTTAACTGCTGTTTCAGAAATCCTGTTTCATGGACGGTTTCATGTAGTTGCTTGAGAATTCCATTAAGGTTTAGTTAAGTTTCCCATACTCTTTTCATGTTTTGATGATATTGGACGTTGTGCCATTTTACAGTTAATATGCTCAATCACTGGATCTGACGAAAGGAAGAACGATAATATAAACAATAATAAATAGGGAATTACTAAGTTTGTATGCTTATCCCCAGTTCCCTCAACTTAAGGCTACAAAAACTATTCAAGTTCAAACACTTAAACTTTGTACCCTTCTGACACCTAGAACCCAAAACTGCGTTACTCGTTAATAGTTACTCTTGGGCAGCAGATGGACATAATTTTTAAATCTGATGAAAATAATGGGCCGATATGTCTAGGCAATTCTAGAATCACAAATTAAAGGAAAATGTAAATGTTTTGTTTAATGTCACAAGCAGGCATTTTTTGTTGGCCTCCAATGGTCTGTTTGACGGCGCCATAACGATATGCGAAATGATAATTCGAAATTGTGTATTCTTCTCCGGAGGGAAAAGTACTCACCGTGTAATATTATTGCCACTGCGAAATACGTTGCATAATTGCCGAACATTTTTCCCACAATCGTAGACAACAGAAGGTGAAGTAGGCACTTTGTCAACGTCATGGAAAATGAAACATTCGATGCCAAACAGTCGATCACCGGGAACACTTTTCCTTACCTCCCTGACTGCGACATTAAGAAGTTTAGCTCGATTAAAGCTGTCATTGCCAGCCTGCTCCACGACAAGTATGACACACTGCTTCTTCTGGGCGCTGAGAAATGGAAGCATATGCGTGAGGAATCTGAGCAAATCCTCGCTTCGATTCCTATACGGCACAACAATGGCCACCTCTCCGCTAGCGGAATCCCTCAACGGCAGAAATGATTGGCCTTGCAGTTTGGCATCAATTGTACTTACGTCGGAGACTTTCGCTGACAGCAGGTAGGCAGTTGAACTATTTCTAGTGAAGGGTAGGTAAATTGTCCTTAAGGACTGTTGGAAAAGGTGAATGAAGTAGATATTAATGCCAAGTACGACAACCAGCACGACTATGAAGGTAGACAAGAAGCAGCATTTATAGGGCAATGTCTTAATCATGTTTATCACTGATCTCCAGACGACCGAGTAAACGTGAATGTAGATTTCACTTACTTAGGGGGTTGTAGGTGAACGTAAACTTGTGATGATTGGTTTGCAAAACAATTTTGTGCGGGAATGCTTCTCAATGTGTAGTCGCATGACTGGCTCTTATTCCTCATGCGTTCTTCTGCGCAGCTGTTTACGGATACGTATGGAGACGGCCCTTCGTGGTATGCCAAAGCATACGCCATCACAAGCTTCACATGGGATTTTGTAAACGTTTTCTTTTTCGTGGTGCGCAAGGAGGCCTGATGACACAAGGGGATAAATGAGTCGAGCATCCAATCGGGGAACACCAGTGTGTTTATTCCCGATCCAGACCGAGCCCATGACGCCAAGAAGACCCCTCACAACTGCATTGTAACAAACTTCCACGACGGCCTTTGTTGAAGTGAGTGAAAGGCGAACAGGGCTCTGTATGAGAGAGAAGTATTTCGAGGGCAATCTATTAGCTGGATTACAAAATATAACATTCTGGTTGGATTCGGGTGGGATTTCTTAAACGACCACTTTTTGATGATGCGCAAGAGAGTAAGCCTAGAGACACAACGGGATAAGTGATTCGAGTATCCAGATGGTGGGTGTCAGTGTGTATATCCCCGGTCTTTTGTCAGCACAGACCACTCCCATGTGTACTAGAGGGATGTGGTTTGGAATTAATTGTAGTTTAGGTCCCGAATCAGCGAAAGACCCATCCTTCTGTAATAAAGAATTGGGTAAAGTACTCCGTACACGGTCTGGGCAATACAAAGGAAAGGATATATAAATTAAAAAAAAACCGAAATAGGCAAAAGTAGCTTACGCAGGCCCCACTCATATACCCCTAGTCCTAGCATTTCGTCCTGCAAAAACGGTGGTTCTAGAGTTTTGTGGGGTGGGAAAATAGGATAGACAGGGAAGGAAATTTTTAGAAGTAAGTGTTAAGTAAAAAAATGTAGTCCAAGTTGCGGAGCAGGTTGTTCCGCATGCAAATTGAACGTGTGCACAGCGGACTATACTAATCTAACTCCAGAATGGTAAGTTGGGCCTCAGTTAAATTGAAGTAGACGACCTCCTAGCCACCATTTCAATTTTTCGGGAAATTCAAAAAACCCGCAGTTTGATAATCGGGGTTTTCCGCAATAATTTAAATAATAGTACAGATTAGGAAAATCTGAAGATATAAATCAAGAACATGTCTAAATACAGTAAAATAAAAATGCATTTAGCATTTATTTAAGTATAGTCCACTACATGTCCTAATTTCCCGCCCATAAAACCCGATAAACACCATTTTCGTAGGAAAA